CGATACTTAAGGGTGTGAATCATTGGGTGTTAAAGTTTTAAAAAAAATAACTATTTTATTTTGCCCAAAAAAAAAGTGTTTCCATCATGGTGGGTTCCTACCAAATTTCAACAAAATATCAAAAGCAGTTTCAATAAACTGGTTTTTATTTTTCTTACGCGAAAAGGGTGCGTCGTACGAAATGTACGTCTATAAACCTTTGCTCCAAAATAAATAAGGATTTTAAAGATAATTTTGGTTTTTAGAAAAAGCAGTGACGTACCATATTTTTTATCAAAAATATTCAGTTCAAACCCGGTACGGACGTCACTAGTAAAAATTTAGAAGTCTTTTACGACAAAAAGGCGGGATTGAAAGTGAAAGTTTAGTCTGTTGGTACATAATATACTATATTTATATATCTAATTTTTATTATTACACTGAATGTGACATGGCTTTTTTGCTTGCCGTTTTTGGATTAACAAAATATTATTTTAATGATTTAAAATAAACTGCCAGTAATAATAATTATCTGTACTTAAACATATACAAAGTGTTCATAAAACGATGCATCAAGAAAGCACCAAATTATTAAACTTTTAATTTACGTAACAAGTATTAAAAGTAATTTTAAAAAAACCGACTTTAAAATCGTTCTGATGTCATCACCACATCTTAACCAAATTTATATGGGACCACCCCTGAGGTACCCCCTTACTAACGAAAAGAATTATAGAAATCGGACAAGGTGGTAAATAATTATCGCTAAACATACATAAAAAAAATGAAAAGTTTGAGGATTTTCTCATGGACCCAATTATTAGATTTTGACCAAAATTAAAAGGGACCATCCCGGAAGTACCCTCTTTCCAGCAAAAAAAAAGAATCATTTAAATCGGACATTGTGTTAAAGAATTATCGCTAAACATACATAAAAAAATATATATACAGACGAATTAAGAACCTCCTCCTTTTTGAAGTAGGTTAAAAATGATCATAAATGTGATTTATCTTTTAGAATATTGTTTATATTTGTCAAAGTTTACTATTTTTAAAAAAAAAAAGAAAAATTTTTCTTAAATTTTTTAACACGGTACAAAATACCTTAATTTGTTTATAGTTATCGATTTAAACAAGACGGGAGACCGGGGCATCGTCGAAGAGAAACAGCGAAATTAGTAAATAATTTTACCTTGATTGAAGAGCGTTCTTTCTCTTTCCATTTCCTATAAAAACTAATAAACCTTTCTGAAATCGGTATTCGGTGACTTTTCTTCTGATATGATTTACATAAAAAACAAAAACTGACTTATTATTTTTGTGTAATACAAATATGTTGTTATTTTCACAATTTTCGACTACTCTTTGTTTCCAAAAAAGAAATACGATGTTCTTCTGTAGATATTAACACATTCTTTAATTGGCTTTTTATTATTTTTTTTTTTAAATATTCTTTAGTATTTTCATAATTTGGGGAAACAGTATAGCATTGAAAATTCTATACCTGAAAAATTGTGAGTACGCTTTTAATTAATTGTCTGTTTTTTTTATCTCACAATGTCTCGGGTAAACGAAGTTACAAAGAAAAAAGTTAGTATTCAATATCATCCAGACAAAAAACAAAAACTTGTTTAAATGAATATATTAAATAAATTATGAGTATTCTTAAACAGAGATATATTTATTTGTATTATGGAAATAATGTTTATGTCAATAAACTTTTGTTCGATGTTTCTATCAATTTGTAAAGATAACTCTTTGTATAATCATAAGGACCTTGCAGATATCACAGTTCGTAATTCTTTTTATTGAACATAATACTTTTTTTGGAATGAAAGCATCAGTTCCTGTTTTTCAGTTAAGCTCCATAAATCAATTCATATTTTAACTGAACGCAACTTAAGCGCAGGAAAGTTGCAACAACTAAATAATATAGTGAACTTTTCGAAAATTTTTAAGTTAAAATAAAAATTTATATTTAAAATTAAATAAGTTAACTAAAATTTTTGACAGTTATGAAGTTAATAAAGTTATAAATAACGTCGTTACAAAGATTCATCTGTGAATTTTCAATTTCTATTGATGAGAGTTACTCATCTACGTATTACAATATCAATACATGACTTGGCTTTGATACAAAACTTCTAATCCGAATCAAAATCTTGAAACTATTATTTGGGGACTTAAAAGCGTGGTCCACTAGTTGGTGTAGCCTTTTAAAACATTTGGTATAATAATAATTATATATCATCAATTACCACTGCCACTGGTAAAATTCTAAATTTAAAATAGTCTACTATAATAATAAGACATTAATTATATCTTAAATGGATCGCCTACTACCATGTTTTAGAAATAAATCAAATGTAATATTCAAAATAATTTAAGATTCCTTGCGTTATGTTAATAAACATTAAACAAAATGTCTTACGAATTATTTAGTATTCTGTCTCGTACTTCCATGGCTCTATTAGCTTCGCTGTCAACAAGTTCCGGCAAGGCATATTGCATATAAAATTTTTTAATTTTATTTTGTATCTTTTCTTCCCAAAAGCTGTCATTATGAGATATTTTCTCCACTTTTATTCCTACAGAAGTCCAAAAGCACAAAATGCAAAAATCCATTTGTGTTATGTGCAGCTAGCCCTGAATTTGAAAATACCAATAGCGGTTCTCCTTAATGGTATTGTCCTTTTTCCAAAAAGTTATTTCTCTACTGTATATTTAAAAACTTTTACTTGCAAATAATTTTCTATTTCTTATTTTGCTCTGAATTTATAGTCCCTGCCATATCGGGTGGCTTTACAAATAAATAAAAGATTTTAGGAATTTTTTTACAAATTTCTCCAAATTTTAAAGCAGTGACTTGTCTTTTATTGTGCCACAATGCACAATAGCTTGTCAAAATCGTTTTTTTTCTCATTTATAGAAATTGGCTAACTTTTTAGAAAATTTTCTCTTGCAACGCGTCTCAAAGGGTGCGACAGATCAAAGCCATGCGCGAAAGCAAGAAAAAACATTTAAATTACTTTAACGGATTGAAGAGATATTAACATGCTGGAATTAATAATTATTGTTAACTCGAAGAGGTATTCATTGAACAAAAACATATTTATAATTCACATCTCAGTGCATACCTTCCAATTTCGAGTATATTTTTAATAAATAAATGATAAAATTACTGTATGTAAACAATAACAACATGAATTCAAATCACTTACGTACTGTTTATCACTAAATAGTAGAAAAAGATATATATTTTGTTGGTGTCACCATATAGACGAAAAAGCTTTTAACGTATTTCTATTTTTATTGTAATAAAAATAAATGCTCCTGTAGTCAAAAATTAAAAATATTGTTCTCTTCTAGCATTTTTTAACATTTCTATATCTTTTCGTTTCTTTTCTTAGATTTTTTTCAAAAGAGACTGATTCATATTTTTAAAGTGACTCAGAGAGGTATGGGCTAAGCCTTTACCTGTACTTACATAAAATTCCTTTAGTAAAATTAAAAAATAATCCGTAAAATTGGTGTACTATAAAACCCTTGCGTATAATATATATACCAATCTTAGTATTAAAGAAATAAATTACGTAAAAAATAAGGTGTACAAATACGTAAAATTTATTAATCCCTCGTAAAACATCAGTAAAATATATATAAATTGTTTTCATTCACAAATATTAATTTCTTAAAAATCTAACAGAGGCGCCACTTTCCAGACGAAAAATCTAGCCATGTAAGGGTTTCGTAGTACCCCCACTTTTAAAGTTTATTTTTAACTTATTCTGAAAAAAAAAATATGTACGTGTAGGTAAAGGTTAAATCTATGCTCCTCTGGAACCACTTTTTCAATATTCAATTTGGTTTTTTCTAAAAAAAATTGAGAAAATCAGTAAAAAAAGTCGAGTTTTGTATTTTTTTTTAGAAAAAACAGTTTCAAATTTTAAAAAAGTGTCTTCAGAGGAGCATAGAATTATCCTTTACCTACACGCACATATTTTTTTCTTTCAGAATAAGTCAAAAATAAACTTTAAAAGTGGGGTACTACGAAACCTTTGCATGCTCCGCTCTACAGCCAAGTAAATACTCCTCTTAAAGAAATCTGTTTAAATAATGATAGAAGTAAATTAACGAATACGAACATATTTTTATAGGCCGCCAATATTTTTAAAGGCCGTTAAATATAAAGGAATTGTTACAGAATAGACCCCATTATCAGATAGAAAAAGCAAAATAATAAAAAATTCAGATTTTACTAGTCTACATTTTGTATAATTATCTATAAAAAAATGTTAACAATTAATTTTTATGTTATTTAATTTGTTTTTCTAAATGTAAGCCAAGATGTAAGCTATTATAGATACCTATAAACTTAGCGTTTGCTGGTTCTCATATTTTTAATTTATGTTTTTAGGAATCCCTCGTACATCTTTGAAAAATTATTATGGTGAATCAGCAGTGATTAGATTAGACAGATTTTGCTCCAGAGTAGGTTTCTATAATATGAATTCCTTATCGTTATAGGGTTACCTTTTATCGATTTTGTATCAGGTTTATTTTCAAGGTTATACATACATGTAAACAAGTTCAAAAATCGAATACATGGGTATGCATTTAGTTAAATAATTCATTTTTTTTGTATATTTAAAACTAATCCCAAAAACCTAATGAATTATTTGAATAAGGATAATTTCCTGACCGTAGTAGAATTTTATATAAATAAAAATTTCCTTGGTTTACTTAATCGGTCATTGTTTTTATTTTCAATCGTTTAGCACTACATGTTTCGGAAATTTTAAGGAATTATGTTTTATGCTTTGTAATATTATAATGTATGAGCTGATATCTCCTAAAACTGTTAAATATTGATGAGGTACAACCAGTATTTACCTACTACCGGTGACAATATTGTTTTAAAATGAAATAGGGTAATACATACAAAAATTAACGCACCTTTTATTAAAAAATTTGCCTAACAACACATTAATTTATTTATAAATATCAAATAGGAAACTTACATGTTCAACATAGTTTTACAGTATTTTACACTTCTCACTTCTTAGAGGTTATGTTTTATATTTATAAGCGGTTGAGATAAATATTCTCCACAGAACAGTATTCACGATCAAAAACAAGTTGTTGCATCCGTTCCTTCGTTTCAGTTCGTTACTCGCGCCGGGGACATTTACTAGACTAAAATTAAGGAATGTGCTTTAAATAACTTCTCGGTTTTGTATCGTGGGTTTTGTTTAAATTTTTTTTTGGAGTTTTGATACACATTCTCGCCTTATCAGACTAATAAATAAATATTACTAAGTAATATTATAATATATTATTATACTGTTTTTCGTTTTGCAACATGGATGTTTCGATGCTCGCACCAAAAAGTCCGTTATACTCTTAGATTATACTCGATATTCCTAAATCAATGTTGCCCGTTGCCGGTTTTAATATAAAAAGGGAATCTATGATATAAAACATCGAAATGATTAGAAAAGTTATGTTTATAATTAATTCATTTTATCTACTAATCGGTGTGAATAAACTTAATATACCTAGCTATATTATTTGATGAACTATATTATAATAAAATAATTTTGTAACAGCTATTCAAACAATTTTTGTTCCCGCTCATTAGCACGAATTTCTATCCCAGGATTGAACTGGCCCACTCTGACTTGATAAAAAATTCTGAATTGAGTTTTTTTTTAAATTTATTAATCAATGACGTTTCTAACAGTTATTTTCTTTTTTTTTTTCAGGGACTAACGTATGAGAAGAACCCAGAGCCAAAAGTGATTGTGAGATATTTAAAAAGAAAAACTTTTCATATAGTCAATATGAATAAATGTTTTTTAGTGCCAATTTACAGTAGAATTATAAGTATTTAAATATTATTGTATAAATAAAATATAATTTGGGAAATATAAGTAGCGTTTTTTTATTCTTATCGCCTATCAATACCTACGATTTGAGAAAATTTTAAAAAAGTTTTTAATATCAGAAGATACTAAGTTTTTGTCGTTCTTGATGTACAAAGCTGCGATGACGTAGGTACATAGCTCAGTAGGGAATGTAGGTTCTTTAAGGCGAGAGTTTAATTGCGTTTTATTTTATTTCTTAATCAATTTGAAACTATACAAGATAAAGAGATAAGATTTGGTAGACATTATTGAAATAAATCAGAGCAGTTGCTGACGTCAATATAAATAATGTAACTTCGAGAATAATAAAAATAAATGTTTAAACACCCAACAAACAATAAATTGCCGGGATATTGCTGGCCTTTTACTGTAATTGAAGGGAAAATAAATGCGATAATTAAGAAAAGCATGGTAAAAGTATAAAGGCTTTTAACTGCCGCAGACCCAACTCCAATAGTCCAGGAGGGTTCTGCCCCTCGTTCATAGATGGAGACACCGATGATTGCTTGTTACATATTCAACGAATAGACATGTACTATAAGGCCAGTCTTACACCTCCATGGTCTCACATTGCTGGTATTCAGTAATCAGCATTCATTGTAATTTTTTACTTTTACATATTAATTTAGAATATTTAATTAATAATTTTTTTGAAGAAGACATTTTTTCTGTATTATATTATATAGCTGAATTAAATAAAATGTATACAATATTATATATTGAAATGCCTTCTGTTTTTATAGTTCAAACGGTAATACTAGTCATAGAGGCTCCTTCGAATATCCTATTGCAAATATCCGACATTTTCTCTTAGTAAGAAGTTAATAAAAATATTCTAATTTGTAACAATTTTTGTAATCGCAGCAAGTGTCCAAATAATCCATCTACTATAACTAACTACTACTATAAGTAACTAGTTACATAAATTGAAAATTATTAAACTGGTTATGTCATAATTATGTGCATTATTGTAAAAAGAAAAGAAATTAAAAAAAACATTTTTGGTATTTTAATTAATATATTCTGTAACCTCTATTGCTTTTGAAAATATATATAGGAATAACGAAGATTGGTTATATAAAAATACATTTTGACAATGTACTTACAATTAGTAATATTAGTAATAATTCAGGTTCGTTCACTATTTTAAAAAGTCCTAATTCAGCTTAAACCAGAACAAAATAATCGAAACTCTGTTTTACTCAATACACGAGCAAAAAATAAAAATATGTACTATGTACTATGCAAAATAACCCACTTTCTAGGAAACTAACAAAAAAAAAGGAAAACTATTTATGATGATAAATATTTAAAAAGTATTAGATTGGTATGAAGTTGAGTTTTATTTCCAAATATCCATTTTGTAATATCTTTAATTGGAAGTACAAAAAATTATTGGTTAGTTATTTTTTCCAAACAAATAAAATATTCTACTCAAAATTGGAAAAAATTTAAACAAACTAACCAACATTAAATTAAATAATTAACACACATCACGACGAGAGTGTCTCTTCCTAATTTCTCCTGCTTCTACATGTTGTAAGCGAACAGATCTATTGTGTCCCCTATTGTCGCTAATGCAGCAAGGAAATGTGTCGATGCCTATAACGACCTCTTCAATCCTCTCTTCTCAAGTTAGTTAAATCACCCTATTTTATTTGATACGCTATTATAAGTATAGTACCTTTGGATTCTTGAGTGCTACACATTCAAAATGGGAATGGAGGTTTTGTCCTCCTCCTCACAGTATGTACACTCACTATCTTCTTCTACTACTTCTACTAGTTCCTAGTAGGGGAGTTCTCTTTAATTTTTAATTTATTTTTATTTTTATTATATGTTGTTATAGTGGCAACAGAAATACATATTGTGTCTACCTATTACGAATCATGAGATACAGCCTACTGACAGTAGATGGATGGACAGCGGAGGCTTAGTAGTAGCCCGTTGGTTACCCTCCGAGTACGGAACACTAAAAAGAAAAATTAGAAAATAATATCTTAGATTTTCAACTTGGCTAGCTGAAAACTACTCTAAAAATAGTCTAAAACTAGTCTAAAACTACTCTAAAATTGTTTTAGGACCTTCAAGGCCTAAATTATTGTGAAATATAGAACACAAATTCAGTGAAGAATCTAGGTATTATGGTGGATCGGCATTTAAAATGGGACACAAGTAAAACAAATTGCTCAAAAGGTAAGATAATTATTATTCAAATTTAAGTATTTAAAGGCTTTTTAAATCTGGCGAATCTAAAAATAATGTACCCACCTATTCATTCTTTGTTAGAAAAAAAAATGTTATATTAAGGTATATTGGTTTGAGGTGAGGTATCTGTATCTTTAGGGTGGGGGAGGGTAAGTTGATCCACAGTACTTAGGCTTCATACGGGTCATTGTGTATCCTCCAGAGGCATATAGAGGTGGCTCTGTCATCTTCCCAGCTTATCAAAGTTCTGCAGATTATCAACTAGCCAAAAATCTGCTGGTTGTCGCTAAAGGGTGTCTACAGCCATCTTCTCAGGTCAAAGTCCTGAAGGTCAATAACGTCACCAAGAGGTGTCTCTGCATGCCCCATTTTTGGGATGGGGTAAGTGACGTTTATCTTATTCCAAAGGAGTGGTTGTTTTCCGAAGGTAAACGGTCGTCTATTTTGGGACACATATATGGCTTACATAATTTATTGTTTTCATTCATTTAAATATTACAAACCCTGTGCCATTAAAAAATAACTACTTACCCGTGTAATTCATCTTCTTTAAATAACTGAACTTGAACATGAAATTGTTAACATTTATTGAACAAAATGATAAATTATATAGAAAAAATCACATTGCCCAGGCATTATGAATAATGCTGGAACTCGAGTGGGCAATTTGAGAATATTTTTATTTATATTTGTCTACATACACAAATAAGAGAATTTATTACATTAAAAACAAATATTAAGTAACAAACTGAAAAAACATATTAAGTACCGTATGTGCATAAATATATACAAACAAAATGTCAAATTCTAGAGCTTCTATTTATTAGAACAGTTTCCACTTTGGTGATATTCCGAGTTACAAAGCTTTTTTTCTTCACACTTTCACTTGTCAGATTTACAGTCCCCTTTACAGCCGCATCGACTATAGCCTTGGCCCCCAGTCTTGGATGACATTCTTGAACATTCCCTTAGTGAAATTTCTGACGGTGAAATTTCTTCGACATTAATAAATTTTTCATTACATATTGTAAATTGGTTCCTAGCATAAAGTTGATTTAGGATTCCATGTTTCGTGCCTAATTTATAAAGATTATCATCTGTTATTTCGAGGACAATTGCCAAAATATTTCTTTCATCGGTGCGACCTCTGTCGACATCTGGGACTCGAACTCTAACTGTGTCACTCTTTTTAGCGGCAGGATATTTTGAATTAGAAGTTTGAAGCATTTTTTCAGATTGTTTTTTTAGATTGCTTGCTGAAATCTCCCTAATTTTTAATATGTCGGCTTTTCTTTTTTTCACATTGGGATCTTCTGAGAAATCTTCATAACCTTCATACGCGCGTTCCTCATGACCGGGAACTTGAATTTCAGTTGCCCCTGAGACATTTGTTTCTCTTTTGTTATTATTGAAATCAGAGTTTGGTTCAGATAACGAAGTTGATGGTTGAACAAGAGAAGATATTTCCCCCTCGTATTGTTGACTTGGACCTACTTCCGCTAAAGAATTTGACCCTGGTTTATTTTGCAGTGCACCTTCTTCTGCAGACTTATTAACCACTTTGCTTTTAGATGTTTTAACCTTTTCTATTAATTCCAAGTATTGAGAATTTGTGTATTCTGACCTTTTGATGAACACAATTCGTTCAGCCGTTCGTCGAAACGATTTTTCATCTCACTTACATCAGTTAATAATAACTGTTTTTGAATTTTATTTTAAAGAAAAATCACTAACATTTAAAACAAAACGATAAAGTCACTTTAAGGCAAAATTCATTAAATATTCGTGGCACAATTATTAACAGCCCAGTAAAAAACTGAAAACAATCGAGAACGAGAACTCATTAACGCGCAAGATGGACAAGCGACAAGCCATCAAAAATGGATGCTGATTGGCCAGTGAGAATCACACTATACGCACGTTGCCAAATTGCTTAAAATTAATCAAAGTGCCCAGAAAATAATAGCAGTATTTATAATAACCGGGCAGTCTAATAAATTATTATAGACAAATACAAAATTATTAAATGGCCCGACTGTATTGGGAACTTTATAAATTGCCTGGCCATTATGAATAATGCCTAGAATAATCAAATTGCCCGTAACAGATATATGTGTTACATATATGCCCATAGTTTTAATTGTATATTTTATATTTGCCTATATAAGTAGTATATACTACTGTGATTTTTATATTTATTTCTTTTGGCCTATTTGAAATTACTTGAGTGAATACTCAAACATTATTATATGTATTATTATATGATGATGAATATGAATATTCTTAGCCATTTCCACTACAAATTTAATTAATTAATTAATTTCATAATTTTGTCAAGAGAGCCCTAGTATCTCGGTTTAGGCACGCCTCTGCGTGTCTCCCGAATTCGTAATTACAGGTTAAATTACCTATACATATAAAAAAATATTTACGTTCATAGGTATTTGAAAAAAGTTACAATAAGCAAGCAACGAAGCGAAGGAGAAACCGGAAAAGTTTCATCAGTTGAATAATGCCTCTTTATGGCTCTATAAAGAAACGGAGTTAGGACTTTGTAAACAAACATCTCCAGATAAACGAAAACACCCGGAGATATGTTTCACGACGAGTCGTCTGTCTTGTTCTGTTGAGATTGTCGAGAATGAGAATATCATTTACGTATAATAATAGTTTCAGTGCTATTAGAGTCGAAACACTGTAGCTCCAGGTAAAATTTGTGAATTTAAAAATTAGTAAAATACCTAACGGAATAAGCCTTTAAGGAATGCTAGTCTGATATATAGAGTAAGTTAATAGTACGGTAACTTTCCAATACTGATCCCAGAAGAACGTCATAAAAAAACAATGCTATTGAATAGACATAAATATAATTCGAGTCCCTCCTTGCCATCGAAAGGGCGTAGTTAAACCAAGTTACATACTCTCTTTATACGTCACGTCCAAATATAATTATTAAGTAGTCTATTCTGTATCATGCAGTTGCTAGCTAGCAAAAGGCTTAGATTAAGGTTAGTCGTTATGTTACTACTTTAATAAAATCAGAATTCTCTACAATAAAATCTGTAACAACTAGTGGATATAAAAGTAGATTTCAAGCATCTCAGAAGCAGTCAAATATTTTTTGTTCTTAAGCATACAACTAGTTGCTGAGATGCTGAAAAAGAAATAAGGACCTTCGGATAATAAATATTTAAATATATCAAGAAATTAATAGGAGGTATGTTTAGTGATAAGATAATCGGAAATTATCATATTTTTTCTAATGCTTTGGTTTATGCATAAAGTAACACTTCAGCAAAGCCTACTATTTATTGCTTGTAATCTGTATCTGTGAGGTGCGTTCGCCTTACATTAGTTAGGCCTCAATAGCCCCATTGTGCATCCTCATGATGCTTTTCAGGTGAGATGTCTATAAGGATGACTACCTCTCAGATCGTCAAAAGGCCTGTAGATCTGCTTGAGATAAAATTGCATAATACATTTTGCTGTATTAAGTTTTTTTAATTTCAAACCAGTCCACCAACAAAATGTAACCATTTCCAAATAATAAAATTGCACTTCACTTGACGACCCGGCACTTCCGACTCGAAGGTTAAGTTGTTAAAAGCCTAATCTACATCACACTTACAAGTTGTGTAATATTTTTATAGTAACCGTATAACAACTTTGACAAAAATAGCTATTACAGTATTCACAGTTGCTATAAAGTTGTATGTGTGGTGTATCAGGCTTGTGAGGAGGGACGGGACCAATGAGGTTTATATCTCCCGGCCATGGACGTTAACTGAATTATAATTTATCAATTGGGACTTTTTATATTTTGTTGGTGAACTGATTTAAAATTATACAAAAAGTTATAAATGTGTCGTAGTTGTAAACTTTTAAGTCAGGAAAATTTAATGTGCAGACATGCAGGCCTTTTCATTATCTAAGAGGTGGTTCCTATAGACAGCTCTCAGTGATGTTATACAGGGTTGGCCAAACCTCTGTCGTAGTTCTATAACTCCTACTATGCAAATCTTAACGATTTATTTGATGTATACCTGTCAATGGTGGCCAATACCAAATATTCCAAAATTATTTTCTTGTGTACAGGGTGGCCCAATAGTAAATTAGGCAAATCACTTAATTTTTTTTAAATGGAATGACCCAACTTTTTTTACAATTTTAGGTACTCTATGGTCACTAGTACATACCCACAAAATATTGTTTCTAACATAACAACTATAGTAACAGAATAGACTTCTTTTTATTTTGTTTCATGCCTTGGTTAACGTACTGTATGTACGTACCTACCATTAGGTAATAATCATCTGCCAGTTGTATTTGACTGAAACATCGACTCTTTTGATGAAGAGTCCAAGGTACAAATATCTACCATGATCACATACTTCACCATGATAATCAATAGTTTAACTGTCATCAAAATCTGATTAGTATTTGTAGCAAAAAAAGTCACAGCTTATATTTTTATAAAAAGCAGGTCCTTTTGAAGGACAAGTGCTGTAAAAAAGGACATGTGCCGTAAAAAAGGACATGTGCCGTAAAAAAGACATGTACCGTAAAAAAGGACATGTGCCGTAATAAAGGACATTTTAAGCTTTAAAAATTCACAAGGACAATTTGTTTGACACCTGTCCTTTTCAAAAAAGGACAAGTGGAAAACCTAGTCTGAACGAGGGCATACTGCTTGAAAGAGGGCCTACCGGTCTTTTGGGTAAACTGACGGCCCAATGTGACAGTAAAAATCACACATTATAGTGGATGCACCAGTCCAGAAAATGGCAAAGACGTCTATTCTTAGTCGAAAGACGTAAGTTAGGATAAATATTTTCAAAATAAATACGTATTGTATATATAATACACTTACAAATTAAGTTATAAAATAAATGTGTTTTAGTAAAATTAAACTAAATAACGAACTATTTAAATAAATAAACTTTATATTGGTGTGTCAGAGGTAGAATACTGTAAATAAATAGTAGGTGAACATGTCCAAAAAAGCTGAATCATGTAAAAGTGATAGAGTTGCGTCGGAATTAAAAAAACGTTAGAAAAATACCCACATATGGCAGAGAGAGACTTAAGGGATTAGAGCATTTAAGCTATTTAAGTAAAAAAAGGTGTAAAATGAGCGTATCAGTATTTATATTATTTTAATTAAGAAATTTAAAACATATAGTATATACATTTCTTATTCAAACATATTCTTGTTATAATGCCATTCCGAAATACCCCTTCCTGGAATTCCGTTCACTTCGCATTCCAGGAATCTTTCGTTCATTATGGCTTCTTCGTTGCTACCTAAAAGAAAAATAGAAATACGTAAAACTTTAATCTATTTAGGATCCAAAAGAAACAGAATTCATGAAAATCCACAGCAGCTACTAGACGAATTTTGTATACAAAAACGGAATTGCAAAACATGAGAGACGTGCTCGTCAGATCATCCGCACTCAATTTAGTAGGTGTCTTACTCTTTCTAATGTAACAGCCTAACATAAAAACGAGCTGAATACAAGTGAATAAGTGCTTGATTATGAATTACTTGATAAGTCTTGTAGTTTTTCGTCGTTGGTCAATATTTAAGAACTTCAGATAGTTACCTATTAAGGTTTTAAATTTTGACAATCAAGTGGAACTAAACCAAAGTTGCTATTTTCATTTTTAGAATAGTTTTTTGTGTTTTGCGGGTTTTGTGTTTTTTATTTGACGCTTCTAATGTCAAACGTCAAATTTTAATTAGGTTTATTAGGATTATAACCAATGAAATGGATTGGGGTAGAGTCACGTGGGTAGAGTACTATTAATGTGCATTTTTGTCAATAGGGCAAGGTCTTAGATAAAAAAGACCAGAGATATAACATACACCTGCGCAAATGTTGCCAATTTTTAAAGAAAGGTTAACGGAGTGGGGAAACTGGGCAGAGACCCGAACTCTGTGTCAGGGACCGGACTTTGTTTATTAGCATCATAATGAACTGTTAGATTTATTTAAAATATACGTTTAATGGAATTTTGTATTATGAAATAAAATTAACGTGATTTTTTAATATCAAACAGATGCCACGACATTTTATGTAAAGAAAAGGACCTTTTATAGAATACTTCGTTAGTTTTTATTTACTACGGACTTTTCAGCAAGAAACTACAGTAAAATGTTGAAATAGAATATTGTTAATAGAGTAAGAAATGGTACTCATTGTCCACGAGTATTATAAAAATAGCATGTGCGCAGACGAATACTGCAAATCAAACCTTGTTAGTTGAACAATATATTTTTTCTACGGCTATTACATAATATTAGAAATTAGTCAAAATGAGAAAATGCTGTTTTGTATTGTAACCTCAACTTCTTTCTTTAGGAATAGTAATTAATATAGAGGATGAGTCACATAAAACTCTAGAAATGCATGTGTCTGAAACCAGATAACATTTTAAAATTTAAACCTATTAAAAGTCATTTGGTCGCTACTGGTGGGTGATTATCAAAATAAATTATCGTACATTGAAAATAATCGATTATTTTGTCGTATTTCCTTTAAAAACGACTACCTGATTACCTTTGAAAAATCAAAAATAATCGATTAATTAAAAAGCCAATTAACCTATAAATCAGTGTTTACAAAAAAATAAATGAATTATCGTTTATTTTAAATAATCGATTATTTTCAAATAATCCATTTTTTTTTCGTTCATTGAAACAGATTATTAGATAATCTTTGAAAAATCGAAAATAATCGATTAATAATAAATAATCGATTAATTAAAAAGCCGATTAACTAATAAATCGATTTTCAAAAAAACGAATTATCGAATATTTTAACTAATCGATTTTTTTAAATAATCGATTATTTTCGATCAATCGATTATTACCAATAATTTATTTTTATTGTATTTCCTTTAAAATCGATAATTCGATTATCTTTGAAATACCGAATATTATCAGTTATTCCAAAATAATTGCTTAATCGAAAATAACCAATTAATTAAGAAGCCGATTCTACGATAAATCTATTTTCCAAAAAAATAACTGAAATATCGAATATTTTCTAATAATCCTTTTCATATTTCCTTTAAAATTGATTATTCTACTATCTTCGAGAAATTTAAAATAATCGATAAATCGAAAATAATCGATTATTAAAATTAAATTAAATTTATTTTTCCAAAAAAATCGATTATTTTTAATCAATCGATTATTTTGAAATCTACTTTCTTTTGTATTTCCTTTAAAATCGATTATTACATTATCTTAAAAAAATGAAAATAATTTAATAAAAATAACGGATAAATCGATTTTCATAAAAAAATATCATAATAATCGATAAATCGATTATTTTTGTAACCCCTATCGGTCGCTTGGTTTAATCCGAACATTTAGCTCCAAAATTTAGAGATTCGGATTTTTTAATCCCGTTATCTTTGAAACCGCATTCGATTGTATAATAAATAATAAATATTGCTAGAATTTGGATTTTTTAGTAAACGAAAATTTTGTTGCTTAATATTTATTAAAACCTCTTAATGCGGATCTGAAATATTCAGCCCAAAGGATTATGGCGCTTTATGTCAAAAAGTTAATAAATATTTACCGCTGAAAAAGAATATATTTTTTATCTTTTATAACATTGGTACTTGTATTATAAGTATATACAATTTTTCATGATACATCGTGGCATTTTGAACTTAAAATTTAATAACTAGAACACTTTAAATTGCTAAAACACCAACAAATAAATCAAAAAACAGCTGTCAATGGTGATTGAACTTAGGTGGAGGTAAGCGTTGAATGAAAAAATCGGAGCAATTCGGGTGGCGTCGTGCAAACAATGATTTTCAATTAGTGGGTTACTTGGGGTTAAAATAGACAACATGCGCAGTGTGCAATGTTACATCTTCGTTCTCTTTAATCTAAGGACTAGGTTCAGCTCAGCCATTTTCATTATTCATCTTTCTCGGGAGTATTTACGGTTTATTAAACATACGGCACAAATTCAAGGGGTTATTCCTTGGAATATTCTAAGAATGTTTTATCTTTTGATGATTTTTGACAAGCCACTTTCTTTCGAAGATACAGTGCGAGAACATTTTACGACAATAACAACATTTTATTACCAAAAATTTCAGGCTTCCTGCATCCTGGGTCGACGTAGTAATTTTTAGTAGTTCTTGTAGATTAAGAAACTTTACATGTAATAGAATATTTGGGATAACTAATTTCTACCAGCGGAAGCGAGCCGCTGCCAGAACGAGTCAAAGCTATTCAGTCTTTTCCTTAGCCTAATACAGTTAAAGAACTTCGTCATTTTCTGGGAATGCTAAATGATACTTTTAAACTCGAATGGATGAAATTTTTCTACATTTAACTTTAAAAACCAAAGATCTATCAATTGAACAGAAATTAGATATTAAACTACGAAGTATTTCTACGAATAATCACACTTCGTTAAATATTCGTAAATTTACTCTATTTTCTGTGATATATCCGATAACAAAAATTCGACCATTTATCCCAAAAACCCTATGGTATACCGTTTTTCATAATCTTCATAATTTGGCACATCTTGGAGTAGGAACTATAGTAAAATTAGTTCAGAAAAAATATGCATGCGTAAAGACATTGCTTTCTGGACCAAATCTTGTATTCCGTGCCAGAAACCTAAAATCCATAAACAACAAAATGTTCCTGATAAAAGATTCCAGCACGTTCATTTGGATATTATAGGACCATTCCTATCTTGTAAGAGTTTTAGGTATTGTCTTACCTTAATCGATTGCTTTTCTAGATGACCAACAAAGGACATTTCTGTAGAGACAATTGCCTCAACATTTTACGGAAACTGGATATGTATTTTTGGTTAACCTTGTACGATTACTACGGATCAAGGTAGACAGTTTGAGTCCTCACTTTTTCAGTCGCTAGTGAAGCTAACTGGAGTTCAAAAGAGAAGAACTACAGCATATTATCCACAATCGAATGGTATCTGAGTACGGTGGAATAGAACCCTTAAAAGTGCGATACTTTGTCATCAAACAGAAAAATGGGTTGACATACTTTCTACAATTCTTCTGGAACTAAGAACTTGCTTTAAAGAATACCTGCAATATTTTATAACTAAATTGGTTTTTGGAACACAGATTAGAATCCCAGGAGAATTTTGTTTAGATAGAAGTAACGATTGCAACGAAGCTGTTTTTGCAAGATGAGAAAATTGCTCCTTTTCCCTACCTCATATCATACACAGAGATCATCTTTCGTACTTTCCGATCTTAAGAATTGTAGATATGACGAGATGATTCGTTTCGAAAAACCTTTACACCCTCCATGTTTTGGTCCATTTAAGGTTTTGTCGCGATTTAACAGGTTTTTCAAATTAAATGTTAAAGGAAAAGAAAGGAACATATCCTTGGACAGGATTAAGCCAGCGTTTTATACTACGGAACCTCCTATACTGTGCCCTTCGTTAAACAATTCTAGACCAATGGAAATGAAAAAACACTGTCAGATTTCGAGATGTTAAAACCTGACGGTACCTCTGGGGAGGGGATCGTCTGGTGTACCACCCTACATATTGTCAGATATATTGATATTTTCAGATTTTAACAATTGTCATTATTTCTATTGCAAAATTAAACAAACTTATTCCAAAGAATTATTGCGGCAGTACAGCGTAGTAATAAATGGTTTTTATAATCGAACATTTTTTTCGCCGTGTATCTTCAAAAAAAATCAGCTTCTTAAAAATCATCAAAGAACAAACTATTTCTTGAATAGTCCAGGGAATAACCTCCTTAATGTATAATAAACAATTTCTGATTGACCTTATTATTGATTGCCTAGTCCACAATCTGGTGGATCAGCATTTTTTAGAGACAAATAAAAAATTAATATTATAATTCCTTCCCAGTATGATGAAAAATAAAATGGCTGCGTCCATAGAATCACATCTCAATCTGTGACATCTGTATCTGTAACGTGTAGAGGTTGGGTCACCTCTATAGCTTTTAAGCCTCGCTAGGCTCATTGTGCATCCTTCCAAGATGATAGGCATCTGCTAGCCCGTGAGCCAGCCTGCAGATGTAATATAGTTGACAAAGTCGCCAAGAGGTGCTTCTCTTACATCGGTCGGTGGCTATCCGATACTCGCCGAACAAAAATCTTCTAATACATGAGAGCGTCGAGCAATCATTAAGGATATGCTCGATGGTCTTATCTTTTTGTTCGCACCCTCTGCAGAGTGCTGATTTTGACAGCCCCACGATATAGAGATGCTTCCGTACTTGTCAATGATCAGTCAGAATACCTGGGACTAGACGCAGATTCTGTCTACTCATTGTCAATTATTTGTTTGTTGCAGTGTTATCAGGATAACTTAAAAGTTCCCTGGCAACACTGCAGTTTCTTGTTTCATCACATCTTTCCTTGAATTTCACAAGGGAATGTTCTTTAATTAGGTCTGTCATTACCGATTTTGTCAGGCCAATAGAAGGGCCAGATCTAAAAAGTATTAGGTTGGCTGCTTTCTTGGCTAGTGAATCAGCAAGACCTTTCGATGTGGCATGACCTTTGATCCATTTTATGGTGACCACATTATTGATGGATACTTTGGCCAAAGGTTTGTGACATTCTAAGTAAATTCGTGGTTTGTTCAGGGTGAGTAGTACATGTCTGCTGTCTGTATAGATGAGCATGTTCCTTTCAGTGATATTGTTCCTAGTGATTTTTTTCTGCTATGAGAATCCCAGTTAGCTCTGTTTGAACTACACTGGCACTATTGCTCTCAGCCACATACTTTATTTTTCTTTTACTATACGGAGAATGGTCGCACTGCGCAGCTTTCTGAGTGCCTTTTATAAAAGGAGTTAAAAAACTCCGCCATTTTGAACCCTTATTACGTGTTGCCTACATCTTGGCGCAATATTTTTAATAGGTGCGTTTTAATCATCCGCTTCTGCTTCGGAATTGTCGGTTTTCTTGTTTTAATCTGACAGGTTAAAACGACTTAAACCGACAATTTCGGAAGCAGAAGCGGATGATTAAAACGCACCTGATATGTTGCTTGCTGCTGTCAGTGTCAGTGAATATTTTTGAAGTCACAGTTTATTGCTAAAGAATCAGTTAGCTCACTCGGACCAGTTGAAAGTTCCAAAATAACATCCACTCCAAGGATACAAATTCAGGATACGCAGAAGATTGCTGTTTTATTATAGGCGGTTGTCATATATTGTATTATCCGAGTTGCACAGTGTATAAACTGAAACATTGAGATCAAAAGTGCCGACGCAGAGTGAGCGATCTGATTCTTTAGCTGTAAACTGTGTCACAGGGTTCAAAATGGCCGCGCCCTATGTTGGGCGTGTCGAACCTCTCTCTTGCCTCGCATAGCAATCAAAGTATGTGCTCTCAGCTCATTTAATATTTAGGTTTAAGAATCTGGAGTATATACCACATCCTGAGCCTTGTTGTTTTAGAACCATCGATGTAGATATGAATCGTAATTGCCACTTCCGGCTCTTGTATTTGTTCTGTTATAACTTTATATGACTTATGGAATATATAGCTCGGTGAGATGGAGTTCATGTTCGCTTGAAGCAGTGGGAGCGTACCGAGCGCCTCCTGCCAGAAGCGACGTCGTCCTACTGAGATGCATTCTCCTCCGCTACACTATATTAATTAAAACCTATAAGTAAATTATTTGTTCGAACATTAAAACCATAACTGAAACTGGACACAAATGAAATAGCCTTCAATATTTATCTAAAATTAGTTCCTTTACAATTAAACAATGTCTTAGACTTTAAATTATTTAAGAAACAATTAAATACCTGCCCTGAACAAGGTTGTAACCATCAAAAAACAAATTCTATAGGAAACATTTTCAGAACAACAAAGATGGCGCAATGCAAATGATGTTATGTCATTTAATTGAAGCTATTTAAAAAATGGTATGTATTCTCACCAAAACTGACAAGCTCCACTATCTTAAGTTTGACATATGACTAAAAAGTATAATGCAAGGTGCGGACACTTTAGTATCGTAATAACATCTTATTCTATTTCAATGGGGACATGTATTAAGTCATTTTCTATTAGATATTTGTGTCTATTTCTATAAAGAATGTTGAAAATAAAACTTTACCTTTGTAATGCTTAGCATCATGTATAAACTTCAATTTCACATCGTACAATTTTCCCCCTGCTTTGAAAGTATAATTCAGCTCTTTAGGCATTTTTCCATTTTCGGCGTGTTCGTATAGACGGAGATCGATACTTTCGATTGCATCGAACGGCCTATCTGGGTGGTTGACGAAACCCATCTCTAAATGAGTAGTAATGCTGGGATGACTGACTACTCCCATGGAAATTACGGTATGATCGGATAGATACAGCATACAGTAGATGTACCTGTGCATCAGAGACCAGTCCCGTTTAAAACCTGGAATAGAAAAGTATTTTTACAAGGTGGATGCGCCATATACGTACACCGTAATAGTGTGACGTCAAAACAGAGTTGGTAACACATACTTATTTTTACACAAAACAAGTTACCATGACAACAATGTCAGATGGCACTATCATCTGTCATATTGTCGTAAATAAATAAGACAATCCAACATCATGTCAGAATTAGCAAAAAATGACCGATACGTGACAAAAACAACAAAATTTGTTGACCTGACTTTTTTTATTAGTGTTTGACTGTAAATTATAAATTTAACACGTTAAGCGCCACAGCGGTCACTAGTGACCGACAGAGATATTTCCTGCAAGGTCAAGGCGGTCAGTGGTGAACGATTTTTTACATTGTGAAATAAAGTTCTCCTGGCCGTATGCCCGCTAATACTTGTATTTTGCTACCTGCATCTGACCGTTGTGGCTCGTGCGGAAGTTTTCCATTACTCAGACATATAAATTAGATACTTTAGATACTAACATCGGTAAAATACAGGGAAAATTGAACGGGGTTTTTTCTTGTTTTATTTAATTTAATTTAAGGAAGCTCACACTTCTGAGAACATAATTAGTAAAAACATCTTAAAATTATTTATTTATTTATTTGTTACACCACCCAACAGTAATCACCATTTACTGGGTGGGAAAGACAAAACATTAGAATATAAATACAAATACAAAATTGTTAAAAAGCTATACAATACAATCTAAGCATCCAGAAAAAAACTGACCGAACACAGGATAAAAAAATGGTTGTCTACATTGCATTACATGCTTTACATCATTTTTTTTACATTGTTAAAGAAAAAACATTTTTAATCATATATTTTTTACGGTTCCATGACAAAACAGAACAGGACAAAACAGAACATGACAACACAGAACTTGACAAAACAGAACACAGACAAAACAGAACACGGACAAAACAGAACACAGACAAAACAGAACAAGGACAAAACAGAACACAGACATAACAGAACACAGACATAACAGAACACAGACAAAACAGAACATATCGACGGTCTACTGAGAGAAGTTAAAATCACGTAAGAAATTTAAACTTTATTTGTAGATTTTTAAAACAAGTAAGTCTTATTGATAGCAAAAGTAAATCAATGAAGTTTGTACAAAAACTAATCTAACACTGTTAACTATTTATCATACAATTGATTTACGGTAATGTTAAAATATATTTAATCAGGAAATGTTTTAGAACAGTTACCAAAACCATCTTCTCTTACGAGAACCCTCACTCGACATAAACAGGGTGCTTATATTCCAAATCCAACAACGGTCGAATTTAATATACCAGAACATTACATGGATGTAATTTTACATGATACAGGGGCCGATGATCCTGATAGAATTCTGGCAATAGGGAATGAAGAGTTGGTTAAAGAATTAAAAAAAGACGTTATTTTTGGAGATGGAACTTTTGATAAAGCACCAAACGTTTTCTATCAACTATATACATGTCACGTTAAGGTTGGAAATTCATTTCCACCCTGCATTCATTTCCTTTTACAAAAGAAGAATATTGAAACATACAGCCGAATGTTTACTATTTTATGTGAATTGGTACCGGATTTATCACCAGACCAGATTCTTGTAAATTTCGAAAAAGCTTGTCTGTCTGCTGCTCGAGTTGCTTTCCCACAGGCTTTCCCACCTTACCCAAAGCGTGATTAGGAAAATTAACAGTGTTGCTTTAAAACAAGTATACGAATCTGATGTTAACCTTAAGCTGAAACTTAAATCTCCACCTGCTCTTTCCTTTGTTCCAATAGCAGGTGTAAGAATTATATTTAACCAACTAGCTGCGACATTTCCGGATGAGGATAGATATAATGAGGTTCTCACTTATTTTATTTTTCAACGTACATAGAAGGTGCTGCAGGAAGATTGCCACAATTTCCTATTAGAATTTGGAATCATCATGAAGCTGCTGCTGAGAAATGTCCGAAAATTACAAACTGTTGCGAAGGTTTTCATAATGCCTTAAAATTCAATCTTTTGCTGCAGTCATCCCAGCATTTGGAATTTATTAGATGGTTTAAGACGAGATATAGCTTGCCAGCGGCTTTTGTTAGCTAATACTAATGTAGGTCGCTTGAAAACGAAAAATAAAAAATATGAAACACTTAGTAATCAAGTGGCAATAGTAGTACAGGGCTATCAACATGAAGAAAATAAGTTGGAATTTCTACGCCGAATGGCCAATCTCCAATATTATAAAAAGTATAATATATAAAGTAATATAAGTAGTAAAAAGTATCATTTACTGTATTTTTTTTATTTAATTATTAAACAAATTATTTAAGTACCAAAAATGTTTCATTACTCCTTTTTTTTTCTTATAACATTAAAAAAAACAAGAAAAAAAAATTAGAAAAAAAATAAATACAGTCTCTTTTATAAATGAAATTTTTACGAAATTTTTTATATTTTTAACTATTCTTTAATTTTTAGCATATCTGTAAGAATTATACAAACAATTCCTGCACAATTTAACCAAAACATAAAGTACATCCCAATAATATTGTTGTTTAATTATCGTATTTAAAGTATTTACCCTAAGTACTAAGTACCCTAAGTACTAAGAATTAACTAATTAAACGCATTTAAATATATGTATACTGATAGGAGGCGAAACTTTTTGTTAGAGAATTTCGAGAAATACTTACCTAGTTATTATAAACTATGTTCTGTTTTGTCTGTGTTCTGTTTTGTCCGTGTTCTGTTATGTCTGTGTTCTGTTTTGTCCTTGTTCTGTTTTGTCTGTGTTCTGTTTTGTCCGTGTTCTCTTTTGTTTGTGTTCTGTTTTGTCAAGTTCTGTTTTGTCATGTTCTGTTTTGTCCTGTTCTGTTTTGTCAAGTTCTGTTTTGTCTGATCACCATTTTTTACATGCAAAAATGACCAAACTGTCTTGAATTTCATGATATTTTTGAATAGATTGGTACGTTCAAAACATTAGTTCTAGAAGCTGGCATGTAGAAACTCAAGTAAACTCTTAATCGAGCATGGGGGATTTTTATATTAACGTAATTTAACAAATCAATACTGTCGATTGAGCCATTTAAAAGATTATAAAGTAGGAGTACCTGTTGGAAATTTCTGCGTATCACGAGCTCTGAAAGATTGAATCTAGATATTAGTAAAGCGTGGGGATATCCAGAATCACAACAAACCTAACGGGTCTACTGCACAAAGTTCTATGATATTTTCATCAAACTAACAAAACATTTTTATCAACGTAAAAGTCATAAGTCAAAATAAGTAGCAAAAATGTTTTAAAATTTGTGACTTGCTGTAAAACATTCTAGACAATAATGTGGTTATTTTCACAATTAACATAGTATGTAAAACTGTTTAGATGGCACGTAATGACACGTAATGGCGATACCGATATTATGTCCGCCAATAATGTTCCCCCCCCAGGTCATAGCGGTCACTGCTGATAATTTTTCGCTTAGGTGTAATTCTGTCAAACATTTGCTCCGATATAATTTATTTAATTCGTTTAAAAAAATAACTTTTTGGAATAGTTAGCATATTAGGCGTGGCGTTTAACGTGTTAATATTCATTTATTCTTAACGAATATAAATTTTAACTACTTTTCAAACTAAACAAATAAAACAAATAAAAAAAACTTTCAAAACTCTGAATCAATAATAGACACGTTTAGACATTAGTTTATTTTCTCTAATTAGGAAATTAAAAACACATGGACTTTATCTAAAGGCATTTCTTTATAAGCTTACCAGAACATACTTATGTAACCAGAGCATTTTTTTAAGGTTTGGTTACTCTGCTTTGGTTACATGTTACCAAAGTATATGTAGCAACATCTAAGGAGGCATTTATTTATAAGCTTACTAGAACATACTCTAATAAAAAATAACAAAATCAAAACATTATAAAAATTTTAAAATTCAAATTCCGTTTAGAAATCCCCAAACTTAAATTAAATTTGAAATATGACATTCAATACCTAATAGGGTTACCACGGTAACCACAATCACAGAACACTTACCACAACCCAAGTAACACAAAATGTTATATAAGGGTTATACCGACGTTGCAACAACGTTTCTTAAAACTCAACAACTTACATATTCTAATACAATATACCGTTATTATAAATTATTATGCAACTTTTGGTGGATACATACAACCTGATAGTATACGTTTTACAATAGTTGCTATAACTCCAGTTATAACTAACTTATGACTTTATAAAAAGATAATGTTATTAGGTAATTACAAATGGTTATAAAAACGTTGTTAAGAGTTGTTATGTCATGATATGATTTGGTTTTATCTATAGATTATTACTTATATATCTAATGAAGACCAATAGGTAAAAACATTATAGAGTTACTTCTTACAAAATGACATTACATCAAAAATATCTCACTAATAGCAACTAGGTAAACCTTAGTACTTGGTGTAATCTACCTAATCTCCCCGCGACCGAGCATGGTAATAAATACATTTTGATGGTTATGGACTACTTTACAAAGTGGGTGGAAGTCTACGCCATTCCAAATCAAGAAGCCGCAACTGTTTATCTGTCGATTTGGAGTGCCCTTGGAGATCCACAGTGACCAAGGCAGAAATTTTGAAAGTCAACTTTTCTGTGGAATCTGTGACAGACTGGGCATGAAGAAAACCGGAACCACAGCATTGCACCCACAATCCGATGGAATGGTAGAGCGAATGAATAAGACCAATGGCAAATATCTGTCAAAAGTGGTTTTAAACCATCAGAGAGATTGGGATCAGTATCTTTTACTCTTTGCACTGGCTAATACATCCGCTGTCAATGAATCAACAGGCCAAACACCAGCAGAGGTCATGTTTGGGCGTGAGATGAGACTACCGTGCGACCTCGAGTTTGGATGCCTACCTGGAGAAGATGTAGCTGGTGAAGACAATATGATCCAGTTACGAAGAAGAATGGACGATATGCACGAATTGGTCCGCTCGCATCTTCAAATCGCTAGTGACAGAATGAAGACGCGATACGATATCCAAGCCACAGAAGGATGTTTTAAGGAAGGCGAAAAAGTCTGGCTCCATAACCCAAAAAGACAAAAGCTTTATTCTCCGAAGCTTCAAAGGTCCTGGAAAGGTCCGAACCTCATCAAGAATAAAATTAATGATGTTATGTACCGTATAAGTAAGATCCCGAACGGTAAACCGAAGGTAGTGCATCAAAACAGGCTGGCGCCATTTGAGGGTGACCATGAAGGTAAACCAACTTCAAAAAACACCAGACCTTGAAGAATTTATGGGTGCATATGGAGGTACTGGAAAAGCCAGATATGGTGTTACGACCGAGCAACAACAAGATCTGCTCTCGCTTCCAAAAGACTACTCGCTGGTCCATAGTACGTCCGCCAGCATCAAAGACGCGCGAGGACTAGCATATGTGTTCCGTAAGAAGTTTGGTCAACTTCAACGTCAGTTACCAGCCCCTGGAAAAGCCTTGAAACTTCCAGACGAATCGCGCTACCTTTTCTATTTAATAACAAAGAACACCTTCCGAGATCGATCTACTTATCATGATGGCATTACTTAGTTTAAGGGAGCACGTACGGGAGTCCAATGTACAGAAACTAGCCATGCCGAAGATAGAAGGAAATCAGCTGGATTGGAGGATCATTAGGAACATGGTGGAAGTAATCTTTCAAGATACGGGAGTCCAAATACTGGTCTGCAGCCATTCGCCCAGTGCCCAGGTTACAGCGAAGACAGTCCCTTGTTACTTCCATGCAACTGGAAATTGTAAAAGGGTTTAGTTGCAAATACAACCATTCCATTTTAGTTTCGTAAGAGTTCCAGGAGGAACTATCTCTTAAGGAGGGGGCAATGTAATGTGAGCATTTCATTATTCAGTCATGTTCTAATCCTCCAAGTCCCTTTCTGTCTTATTTGGCCTTTGAAGCTCAACTTGTCCCGATTATCATACATAATTAAACCCCTTAAGACCAAACATATGTGATGACTATGGCGGAAGTGCTTTCGATTACTATTCGAGAAAAAACGGAATATTGTTTCTAGTATATTCGAAATATAACGAGATATTTCTAGTTTGACGGAGGAGCAATTCTGGAACATTCACCATAATTTTAAATTTGTATATAAATATTGGTGGAAGAACAAGGAATTCAGTGATACATAGACATTTGAGAATAAAGTATTGGCCTGTGAATATAAATAGTAAACGATTCAGAGACATTCGAAATATATATAAATTAGAATAGTATTTTTTTAAATAAATAAGTGTTTAAATAAATTATTAATAAATAAACTGTTGTTTAAAATAAACAAACATCACACTATTAAAAAGTTGTATATCAGTTTTAAACATTTAAGTTATTTAACGTGTCGTGTACGTGTTTTGTAACGTTTTAATCAAATACACTAACATTTTATAACTTTGTGTGTTACTTGGGAATACTGTAACCAAGTATGTTTTAGTTATAAAGAAATGCCTTAAATAGTAGACTTTTTGGATTTAGCTGAGAAAAAAAAATGATAAAATAATCTGCATTGGGATTCTCATCTCTCAATTCGGCACGTGTTCAGACGACTATCTTTGTTTCACAGAATGCGATTCGTATGTACTGTCTCTCTCTATTCGATTCGTTACGTGTTAAGTACGCACATAAAAATCCCTGTCCTGTTCATGTATTGATAACTCTGAAAGCATTGACAGCCTCGTTGTCATGGTAACTTTGCTTTGTTTAGAATAATGACGTTACACTCTCATGAAAAAAAAAAAATGTTTTACTGCATGAAGTTTTAGAATAATACTATTAAAACCACCTTTTATATTGTAATGAGTTGTTTAAAGTCTTTAGAACACTGACTTATTTTAAATTAAATAATTACTTAAAATTAATAATGTTTGCATATTTTCGTAAAAGGTATTTTATAATGTCCAGTTTTTCTGTCACGTAGGACTTCTAATTCAAAAATAGCGACAAGGGAGAGCTCTCAAGAGCTACTCGTTAATAATTCAATTAATAATCGACGCGTAATATACCTTTCCTAATTAATTAATCTTGTCAGTCGATGAAGCCGTTGTTTGACTTGACATAAAAGATTTTCACAAGAATTAGATATTTATACTTCCTAACCTGAACTTAAGAAAATGTCTCATTCATGGAATTCCTTTGAGAAAGTTTTAAGTCTGAAACAAAGTAACTATTGAATTTTAATCACCTTCATATAGTAGGTATCTTTTACGAAAGCTTTGATTAAAAATATATCTAAATCAAACATCTAGGAGGCGTGCTAAGAATAACAAAATCTGAAACTTTTGTCAATATTCCAAATATTGCCGTAATTTTACTTGTAAAGTGGCTCTTACCAAAACTGTGGTCCCTGAATGAATCAACGTCAACCAGAGACGTCGTTTTCCCATCAATTTGCAACGTCCCATTCATAACTCCCATCTGCTCGTAATGGCTTTGATGTGCGCTAAAATGAAAAATAGGAAATCAACGCAAGGGAATCGAAAAATTACTATCAAATTTCGTTATTGTTATGACGGTTTCTGTTGACTTTTGAAGAATTTTAAATTAAGCGTAAATACGAAAGCGTATTAAGTATACAGAGCATATTTTCAGAGTAACTGAACGAGAATTATACCAACTTATTCAACATTTTACTGATTATTATTCTTATATTTAACTCATATACAAGAATAAAGAATAATAGCATAATAATTCAATTAAAGGTTTGACCCAACACAATAACAAATCGGTTTACGTACTGTCGGGTTTCTGCGCAGTCTAGAATTGGTGTTTCCAAAAAACTTCGAATTCAAACCTGTATAAAAATCTAGTGTTTCAACACACCCAAACCTAATCACAAATCAGTTTCTGTACTGGTAAATCAGTTCCTGGGTCTGAATAGGAAACAGTTGTTAAGACTATAAAGATTAGAGAGAAGGAGTCGAATCGGCAATTAGGCATTCCAAACAAAATGGCTGCCCGTTTGAAATGACAGACACATGAAAGGTTATAATATGGCAACACTGTGGGCCTAGTGGTTTAATAGGATCAATGATATAGATAGTTATTTTTAGAAATAAACATTAGTTTATGCCTTGAAGTAAAAATGTAGGCAATTACTTTTTTTAAATATGCAAAGGCTGGAAATTGGTTTTAAAACACATTTTAGCAAAACCGATTCAAATTAATAAACACTTGCCAGGAAATATGGCTGCTCGCAAACGACCCACTTTGAGCAATCTATATAACTATATATGTATCATTGACCCTGTCAATGACAACAGGCTCACATGTTTGCCATATCTAAATTGTCAGTTCCCACTGGCAGCATATTAACAGGTCGTTGAAATGCATATTCTGAGTACAAGTAACATGAGTGACAAAAAACATCAAAGCAAGATTTACTTCGTTCCAGATTGTAAAACAGGATACAAATCTGATGTAAAACTAAAGAAAACACAAGGAGAAATCAATTCAATGAACTTTTAAGGCTTCTAATGTGAGTGAAATAATATATGTCTAAATATAATATTTATTGTAAACTAGTCACAACACGTATCTTACGGAGTGTAGTTTATTTTATACAAGTTTCTATAATATAAAATTTTACAATCAAAGATCCTTACTTACAAACAACAATAATTACACTTTAAATTTAACTTACTAGAAAAGAAAATTTGTTTTCTTATAGATTAAATGTTAGATAAAGAGTTGCTAGTGTTATTTTTTTGTTGAACCCCAATTTCGTCATTGTAAATGTTTTATATACGCTTAGAACAGTGGCAGCATATATATGGTTCCTAGGGCCGATAAAGCACTTTCTAGAGATGATGCTACACTTTTTAGAAGTAATTTCCAAATATGAGACTCTTTTTACTGATGGTACAGTTAGCAAAATAAAAAGGGGAAACCGAAATTAAATGATAAGGCAATATTATGTATATCCCCAAATCTCCCTTTATGCTTGTATTATAACAATAAAAATCTGTTAACTGTGTTTTATTTTGCTCTTAAAACAATATTTAGGTATAATGCAAAAAAAGTTAGACACAAAATTGTACTTACCAAATTTCACCATTTAACAAGCCTCTTCGCATTTGGACATACCTACCTAATTTGCATTTTATATAGATAAAATTAAATAATTTATCAATTAAAACAAGCAATACTTAATTAGAAATAAATACAACAGTATATTCTGTGTTTATTTAGCAATAAACAAGTTTATTTTTATTATTTTAACAAAATTATGTAAAATTCTCATAAGAAGCCATGTATTTTGAATAGCGCTAGCAACACTATCGCCCTCGAGGTGAATTAAAAAAGCTCAATAAGCGTTCGTTTTTTAGGACCGTATTTTGAGTATGACGATTGGCCTCCTTATCTCTAGTCTTCATAATCAAGACATGCGCAAAACGAAAGTGAGCTCTTATAAACAAATACCAATGAAGGCAGAAGAGCATCTTGGGAATTTTGAGTTGAAACCTGTCATATTTTTTACTCGTTTTTTTTTAATCAAGGTGCTCTGCTAACATCCAACGAATCCAGCAGAGCACCTCAGTGTTTTAATTTTATTTTTTTTTTTCTAAAAACAACCACACTATGTTTTTAGGCTATTTTTAGGCTATTTAAATTTGATAAAATGGAATTTTTAAAAATCCATGATAGACAAGGGAGGTAGCCATGTGTGAGTTGAGGTAATTTTAAAGTGAAGATTTAGAAAAAGTCCTTTATATCTCACAAGGAAAGTTAATGTTTAATTATTCAGTAAAACATTGAGTGCGACCGGTTTCGAAGTATCATCACTTCATCTTCAGGCTCGCCTAGTGGAAAGGAGAATATGTGGTGTAAGGTGTGTTAACTTTGAGCTAACGATATATAAAATAGTAAAAAATAAAACTCACCATACTCTCCATCCACTAGGGAATACTACAAACAAGTTTCATCAAATGTGGGGGATGAAATAAATTGTAAAATAAACAATGTTACAAGTTATATAAAAGTTAAAAATATTTAGAAAACAAATATTAGTCAGTTTAAATAGTTAAACATTTAAAATGTTCAAGACTATACAGAACAAGACACATACGTTAAACAGATTAAAAAAGAAGGCTTATTTTAAACAAATTATTATTTTTTTAAAAAATAATTAGTAGTGTTACTTAACCTAACATTTTTGAAAGGAGACCTGTCAAGTTAAGGCCTCTACAGGTGGTGGTAAGTAATAACAAAAAATTCTTGGATAAACTTATGACAGGGTATAGGTAATAAGATGCAAACTATGAGTGAAGAAATATTTATTATTTATTATTTGGGATTTGGGCCATGAATCACCAATTACCAAGTGTATGTGATGTTGTAGGATAAAAAAGAAAGAAGAAGAAATGACTGGGTTAACTGTTGTGAAGCAACTGAAAGATAAAAGAAGAAAAGAAGAAAATGACAGAATATGAATATCACATAACCTAATCTTTAAACATGCTCGTTGGTTTTTTGTGGGAAAAAATTACTTACTAAAATGTACCCCTTGCAAGAAAATATGTGAATAGAAATAAGGGGGGAGGTTAAAAAGGAAGTTAAAACGATAAATTTAGATTAGTGTTGAGAAAACTGGAGGAGTTTCTGACATTATCTGGGCATTTAAGCAACCAACAGGATTTAATTTTAAATTTCTCAATATCTCGAGGCTTTCGAAGCTATTAAGAGTAAATCTATGGTAGGAACTATGTAGGATTTCGAAACCTTCAGTTGAATCGAAGTCGTGATTTGAGTCTAGTAGGTGGTTGGCAAAATGTGAAAATCCTGTTGTATTTTGGTTCTTTTTTTAAACGGATCTTGAAATTTCGAAATGTGCGTCCCACATAGAAAGAATGGCAAGATTTACAAGTTAATTTATAAATTCCAGAGGGATTTAATTTATCTTTATTATGAACAAATAACTTATGTAATGAGGAGGGGGTTTTGAAAGATACTTTAAAGTGGTCTTTAAGTAAGCTTGCCACTTTATAGGATGCTTTTCCAATATAGGTAAGAGAAATGTATTTCTTACTGGTGGTTAGTTCATGTACCATATTAGGATTGTTAATATAAACTATCCTATCCTATAACATCACATACACTTGGTAATTGGTGATTCATGGCCCAAATCTTATATAATAAATAATAAATATTTCTTCACTCATAGTTTGCATCTTATTACCTATACCCTGTCATAAGTTTATCCAAGAATTTTTTGTTATTACTTACCACCACCTGTAGAGGCCTTAACTTGACAGATCTCCTTTCAAAAATGTTAGGTTAAGTAATACTACTAATTATTTTTTTAAAAAAACAACAATGTGTTTAAAATAAGCCTTCTTTTTTAATCTGTTTAATGTATGTGTCTTGTTCTGTATAGTCTTGAACATTTTAAATGTTTAACTATTTAAACTGACTAATATTTGTTTTTTAAATATTTTTAACTTTTATATACCTTGTAACATTGTTTATTTTACAATTTATTTCATCCCCCACATTTGATGAAACTTGTTTGTAGTATTCCCTAGTGGATGGAGAGTATGGTGAGTTTTCTTTTTTACTATTTTATATATCGTTAGCTCAAAGTTAACACACCTTACACCACATATTCTCCTTTCCACTAGGCGAGCCTGAAGATGAAGTGATGATACTTCGAAACCGGTCGCACTCAATGTTTTACTGAATAATTAAACATTAACTTTCCTTGTGAGATATAAAGGACTTTTTCTAAATCTTCACCTTAAAAAAAAATCCATGATACTTTGTTGGAACAAAATCATCAAAGCACCACGGTTTTTTTAAAGTATGTTTCTAAAAACTCCATATTTTTAGGCTTTAAACATTATGAAACTTTTCTTAAAAAATTGGTATTTTTAAAAATACAGTGTGCTTTGCTGGAAAAAAGTCAGCAGAGCAACTCGGTTTTTTAAAGTACAAACACACCATATTTTTAATTCTAGCTTCGAATAAAGTCATCCAAGTATCTCGTTTTTTAAAGCTTCTTTGATCCGTCAAATGCGCCCCCCACATATGCGCCCGATAAAATGAATCTAATTTTCGAAATGAAGGCTGAACAATAATGTCGCACAATTAGATACTCATTTTTACTCTGCCCCATCACTTATATCTTTAATTATTTATCAAATAAGATATTATTCTTTATCATATGTATTTGTAACGGTTAGATTCATAATCTGACTGACTTTAATTTTTAATTGTATATTCCATTTCGTATTGTTAATTTATAATTTAACTTCAAAACTGACATGCGCACTTTGCCCATGTTAGTGTAACCGCCATTTTATGTATGGTGCGACATTATTGTTCAGCCTTCATTTCGAAAGTGATTCAGTTTGTTTTACAAAGTGTTTCGTCTAAGAATTTGTTATCCACTTTCACAGATGTGGCTTTTGTGGAAATCAAAAAGGAGTCTGCAGGTTCACTCCTATTTTCTCCAACTATTTCTCATCTTTCTACCCTTAGTTGGGCGGCTTGTATTTAAGGCCAAATTGGATGGCACTATAGTTTTTACTGGTGGTGAATCCACTTTAATTCCCGAGCTTCTTAATGACGATTGCAGTTTAAGATTCCACTTCAAGGATAGGAATAGCCAGTTTGGCCATTCTATCTGTCCTCTACTAGCTCCACAACAAATTTTAGAGCAATACCAATCCGCGGTCATCCAAAAGCCCAATCTGTGGAAGCCTCAAAAACAATTTGAATGGATCACCCCACTCTGGGGCGACTACCATTTATTCAATTTTTCAAAAAAAATTTCAATTTCTTCTATTCCTCTCCCACATACATTTAAATAATTATAGTAAAAATTTTTTAAAAATTCTTACTTAGTGTAACTTTAATCCCACTTTAAACATTAATCTTTAATATCAACTGTACCTCTTGCACCTCATATGTTAAGTTAAATTTTATATAGTAGATTTAGTGTATCTACAATTGTATTTCACCTTTAGAAACCAGCTAAGATCTTAGGTATGTATAATGTCTAGCTAATATTACCAACTTTGTTAAAATATCACTCAACTTGTTATAGGCTTGAAAATGGCTTTGTAGCCGAAACCGGTCGCCTTGATTAATTAATATATTTATATGTGGGATTGATTTGGAGTTGTTTTATTTTCTCATTGAAGATGGCCACATTTGAGAGGTTGGATTCCCTTCATAACTTATAAAATTAATTTATAAAAGTAATCCATCGGTGTTAGGTCTGGGGAACGTGGTGACCAGTTTACAGGTGCATCATTAACTCTGCCTATCCATTTGTGTGGATATTGTTCATTCAAGTGGTTTCTAACGTTTAAAGAAAAATGTGGTGGAGCTCCATCTTGCATAAACCACATATCTCTCCGAAGTTGGAGAGGTAAATCTTCTAACAATTCTGGCAACGTATTTTGTAGAAAATCCAAATAATTTTCCCCAGTTAATCTTCGTGGAAGTATGACAGGACCAACAATGAAATTACCAATTATTCCAGCCCACACATTAATTTTGAAATTCGTGCTGAAAATGGTTTACCTTTATTGCATGCGGATTTTCAACGGCATAAACATGTTCATTATGGGTATTAGTTATACCTCTTCTTGTAAAACCCGCTTCATTGGTAAAGAGAACCTTCTTGACAAAGTTTGGATCTCTTTCTCTTTGCATATTAACAAAAACCCAAACGAATTTGAGGATCATGGACTAATAATTCTTGTACTGGCTTCTTATGGTATGGATATAGCAATTGTTTTCCAAGCACTTTATGAACGACATCTTTACTTACTCCTAGTTCCCTTCCAATTCGTCTGGTGCTTAATTCTGGATCTTCTTCAACACGTTCTAAAATGTCTTCTTCAACACGTTCTAAAATGTCTTCTTCAACTTCAGGAATCCTTACAAAACGTTCTCTTCCATTATCAACAGTATTGGGAGCAAAGGAACCGGTCTCCCGAAGACGTCTCTCAACAGCAGCAAAAGTTGGGTGGCTAGGTACACGACGATTTGGAAACCTTTTAGAGTACACCCTGACACTCTCTCGAGCATTTCCTTCACAAAATCCTAATGTCAGTAACATATCGGTATATTCTGCATTGGTATATTGTACAGCCATATTAATAAACCACGCATTTGTTTTTTTAATTATTGAGTCAGATAGAACACTTTCAATCGTTAACAAGAGATTAGGTGTTAAAACTTGACAATATTTTTATTTAGATGAAACTATGGAAACCAACAATAAATGTTTTTGTATACATATTGCAGGTAAATAATTAATATTCCTCAAAAAATCGTACATGGCAAGAATCGAGTATTTTTGTTAAAAGTCTCGATTAGAGGTGTTGAAGAAGATATGAAAAAAGTACATTTTTATGTTTTTCATCGTATAAAATTTTGTCCGATAATAATACATAGGCGTAGAACTTGAATTTTTAAAGGTGCAATTCTTTAAAAAATCAAGTTCTACGCCTATGTATTATTATCGGACAAAATTTTAATACCATTTTTTTTGCCACATAAAACTCTACCAATATACCAAATTTCAGCAAAATCGCATATGTCGTTTTAAATTTATATGGCAAAAACAAATAATTAAAAAACTAAAAAAATCTGCCAGTAATCAGTTAAAAAAAAAAAGAAAAAAATTAAAATTGTTGGGGCGCATATGACTGGAAGTGCATTTGTCGGGGCGCATTTGTCGGGTCGCTTTTGTCGGGTAACCTCTAAAAACAACCATACCACATTTTTAGGCCCTTGAAATATTATAAAACTTTGCTAAAATAATTGCCTCTCTTCAATAATAAATAATAGAAGGTGCTTTGCTGAAACCAAATCAGCAGAGCAACACGGTTTTTTTTTCTTTTTCTTTTTTTCGAAAAACAACCACACCGTATTTTTAGGCTATTTTGAAAGTCTTAAAATATTATAAAACATTTCGAAAATGTTTTCCATGATACACCACTCCAAAACACTGTAGTTTTCATAACCCATAGACAGGTGTTGTTCAAATAAGTATACTTACTCTTTTACATTTTTGAAAAACCGCTTTGACCATGGTTCTCTTGCAAAAGCTCTAGCAATCGTTCTAATTGGTACGTCAACTTCGAAAAAGAACCAGTCGTGGTTACTGGTCCAATCACATTCAAATTTGACTTTAATGAATTTCTTCGGGTCATTTTGAAACCTAATGTAACAAAGTTGAATGTACAAAAGATTATATTATCCATGTTGGTAACGTTATTCAAAGAAATATTGAAACTCAAAATCAATACCACATGTATAGAATTTATTTGTTAACGAGCAACTAGTTTTGGCTGTAAAGCCATCATCACTACTCAGCGTCGTCTCACTTGGCTTTCGGCAAGCAAACATTAATTAATTACATTTCCTTTCACTCATAAATTGTGTTGTATATAACTGACAAGCCAAAACGCTATTTTAATTACAAAATTTAATTTTTTCCTTATAATTTCTTATCTTTAATTTTAAATATTTTCCTGCCAGACTGGATGTAGTACACCGTATCTCAAGCAGCTAATTGGTATCGTTTATTTAAATTAGATGTTTTTCATTATTTATATTTTTGTATTACTATTATTGTTTGTTAAGTGTTTAAATTGCAACATTGTTATCTGTATTACAGGCCTAATGATGGCTTTATAGTCGAAACTAGTCGTTTTTTAACAAATAAATTCTATTCATGTCGTATTGATTTTGAATTTCATTATTCCTTTGAAAGTTTAATGTCAAAAATTATAGTTATAAGAAATGTATTTGCATTGACAAGAATTAAAAGCAATTTTAAAAAATCTACTTCAAAATCGTGCCGATGTCATCACCACAAATTTATATGGGACCACCCCTGAAGAACCCCCTTACTAACAAAAACAGACTCATAGAAATTGGACAAGGTGGTAAAGAATTGTCGTTAAACATACATAAAAAAAATATTCCAACGAATTGAGAATCTCCTTCTTTTTTTAAGTCGGTTTAAAAAAAGTAATCTATATTTATTTTGTGATCCAAACATCGAGTGAAAAAAAGTATTCGTTAAAATAAATAGTTTTTAACAGGCCTCTAAAATTTATGTTTATACAGAATACCATTTTTGGTTGAAAAAATTAACGGATCGCTAAAAGTTAAATTTTCAATGGTCTCTAAATTTTAACGGATTTTTTACAGAATAGATCCCAAAGACCGAGATACGAGTCCTGTCCATGATAACTACGCAGGACTCTGAAAAAATAAGAATTGTGTTATACGCGAATTTTTCCAAGGACAACTTTAGTAACATTTTTATGGATCACTCCATACAACAATACAAAACAATAGCAGAACAAAACTTTCGTTTAGCTTAAATCAGTTATTTAGAAACTGTTGTCAGGACAACAATTGTGATGGCAATAAGTAAACAAAAACCAAAACCCCGTGGTGAGGAAATGCGTAGTTGCCAAGTCATAGATGATAGAGACATCTGATATAGCCAATGACATATATAGATTAATAGACTGCTTATCCATATATAAACAAGACGACGAAAAGCGGGTCATATTGCTTGGCTTGCCGAGTGCTCACCAGGCAGAATCGGTCTGGCCCAAATGAGTTTAAAACACATATTTCATCAAAGTAGGAATTGAATTAAAAAAAAAACATATCTGTATGTTTATTTCAAGACAGGAGCTTGCGTTAGGTATTTTAAAAAAGATTTTGAGTCGTAACGTCTAGTTTCCCAATTTTGAACATAGATATAAACAATTTTACACTCATGTGTATATAACTAACTTTAGACCATGACTACTGTATAGTGGCACTATTCGGACACTTGATTATTCTTTTAAAATTTATTTCGCATTATAAAAGCAGATATTATGCAAAAATTGAAAGAACTTTTTAAAGATTTAAAGTTAGTAGCTTTTTCACATTCTAAAGTTTGTCCCTTTAGACAATTAAGGATTATTTTGGCGGTGAATGTGAATGATTTGATGAATAATAATAAAATTCCACCAGTGGAAATCTGATCAACATCATAGTAAAATGGACTAGGTACAAAGTGCAATCTTAGTTGACGTCAAGATCCGTGTACCTTAGCATCGGTAAGAGGGAAATAAAGATTCTGACTTACAATCACAAAAAGAACGTACAACTAAGCTTATTCGATGTAAGTTAGCTCAGATTAGTGGTAAAAAGAAAGCGACTATTAATAAAAAGAAAAGTAATCCAGCTAAAACAAGAATTATGGCTACTGCCTTTAATAATGATATGTTGCCAGTACTAGTAGAATGTTAAGTGTTGAGTTATCTTCTTCAGGCAATGGATGTACGTATGCATAATTTAAAATGTTTGGTTAATTATTATTATTATGTTTAATGTGTTTTTGCAGTTAATGAACATATATCTACTTCTGAAGCAGATAATGAAGATTTGTGTGCTGCTGAATAGCTTTGCTTAATTTACAAAACTTTGTTTAAAAGCAGAAAATTGGGATCGATTTTTCAACACAAGTGAAGAGTGGTGATTTAGTTGATCCGTTTTCAAACAGAATTGTTAGTGCTAAAGAACTATCTACTTTAATAGGATTGCAATCCTTCCAGTTATTAGCCACCATTGTGGAATTAGTAGCAGAGTTGTTTCTAAAGAATAGGAAAAAGGAGATCAGTTATGTCTGTAAAGGATCAAGTTATATTTACTTTTATGAAGTTGAAAACTGATATGCAAGATATAATATCTTATTAATTTTATTTGGAGTGAATGAAACTTTTTATCGTTAAATTTTTTAACAGTTTTTAATAAAACTGGTAGAAGTTCTTAGTATGGTATAATTCGGTCTTCAAAACAAGAAATATTAAATAATGTGCCTCTATGTAAGTAAGAGTACTACTACTTGATTGTACCGAAATCCCAATACAGCAAGCCAAATGTCTTTGTTGTAGGTTAAAAAATTACTCTGACTACAAAAAGAGGCCTACTATTAAAATATTGACTGGAGTGTCACCTACTGGTTTCATTACTTACAAAAGTGAAGCATATGGTGGTAAACTTCAGAAATAGATATTTTTTAACAAAGTTTAATACTTGAAGTGTGTGAATCATTTCTCGATAGTAAAATGTTTAACAAAGGTTTTCTTATTGGAAACATAACAGAAGCTGAAGGTATACAAATTATACAGCCTCCTTTCCTCAATAAAAAAAATCAGTTCAGCCATCAAGAGGCTTTACTTAATGCCACAATTGCCAGAGCTAGAATTCACATAGAAAGAACCTATCAAAGAATAAAAGTGTTTGTCTCTCTGTATTGGTACTTATGTCCGTTTTTCTTCTATTTATATTGAGTTTTTATTATATGATACTTCTCTGTATCTAACTAACTTTTAAAATGTACTTGTAAAGCCCAGATAGCTCTAACTCGAGCCTTTGAATATAATAATATTTATGTAATTGTATTTACAATAAATACTTTATTATTATTAATATTATTATTATAATTAATTATAATTCGTAAAATTATTATAAACGTATTTACCTTGTACCTACTTGTATTGATACTTGCGTGAAAAATTAAATGTTACTTTTTATATTTCTGTAGCTGGTCTTACAAACCTTTATAGAGCAATTCACAATTTAAATTTAAAAACAAAACAAGTTTTTATACTCAAATAATTAAAAAACTTAAAACAGAACATAAGTATAATTAAAACTAAATAAAATAAACAATTCAACAAAATGTCCGACTGAGTAATGACAATGAGAACAAAATCTCAACTAGACTAAACTTTCTTTAAAACCGGTCCTGTGAAAGGTTTGTTTACCAGTGAGCACTCAAAATTGAGACAAAACACAAACATTGCATGCACTAGACAAAGAGAAAACATCTCCCAGTTCGACCCACTTTTCATCGTTTTATTTACGTATGGATAAGCAGTCTATTTAAACTATATATGTCATTGGATATAGCTGAAATCAGTTATGAAGAAACTATTGACATGGGCACTCTTGTTATGGTAACGACTAACCAAAAACACAAATCCCATGGCAAAGAAGTGCGTAGTTGCCAAGTTATGGATGATTTAATTTTCACTTTAGTTTGGCTGAAATTAGATATGGAGATACCGTTGCCATATGAACGACTAAACAAAAACCCAAATCCCGTGATGAAAAAATGCGTAGTTGCCAATTTATAGATGATTTAATTTTCACTTTAGTTTAGCATGGTAACGACTAAATAAAAACCCAAATACTGTAGTGAGTGTAGTGAAGAAATGCATAGTTGCCAGGGCCGGTTTTACCTAACATGAGGCGCCAGACAATTTTGAGGCCTTTTGTTAGACATCTATTTTATAATATTTTTACTAAATAAACTATAGAGTTACCAGGGTGTTTCGTGATATATTTAAAATGACATTTCAGTCACAGCCAAGGGAAAAAATATAAAAAGATTTTTTAATACATTTTATTTGACTCTAATAATTATTAAAACGCAAAACATCTGCGTGATGCAAATTAACACCGTAATCTGTCAAAAATAAATAATTCCTGTTAGTTCGTAAATGATGCCATTAGCGAGTCGCGAACGCAGGATATTTATTTTTTATTTATTAAATTAAAAACCAATACTATACTCAAACAAATAATGATTGAGAGTGAACCGTGTTGTCATATCTCAATTTTACCTTACTAGTTTTTAGCAGAATCAAAATAGAGTAAGTAGTAGAGTTGTTAGTTGTGGCAAATTATAGATAATATACAATCATAGTACTAATAAAAGATATTAATTATAACAAAAATCAGTAATGAGTAATACTTATACATTTCTTGATCATTTAAAATTAATTATTTTATGGATTGTTCAGTATTTGTTACAACTAATGACATCGGTGTACGGAGCGATATTTGTGTCTTTGTCTGTTACGCGTAAAATCCATCTCGTCGATGACGTTCTCAGTAGTGTATTTCTAACCACGAGCGTAACATCGGGTTTTGAATTATACGGTGTGAATTGTAAGTTTTACAATTAAGTTAGTAAGTAATCGACGTGTTGTAAGAACAATTGGTGAAAATATTAGTGCTAATAAGTGTTTAAACATTAAATAATAATATTTCTACACCGTTCTAAAACTATGCAAACAAGTGTAAATTAAAAATTTAAAAAAACCGACTTCAAAAACGTGTAGATACCAACACAACATC